AAAAAAAAAAAAAAAAAAAAAAAAAAAAAAAAAAAAAATCAATATGTGCTAAATTTTCATCACCAAGCAGAATGGATGAATCGTGGATGGATACACAGCTGGTGCTAGTGCATCAGACAAAGCTCTACATAAATTATCATTTGCATATACAAATTGACTACTCTGAATAATTTTGCTCAAATGCAAACTTTTGCCCAGGCAACACTTTATGTGGCTAATTTGCTAAGGAGACTATTTGGGAAGTAGCTTCATTAAACTCATAAAAGCAAGGGAAATTCAGAATCTAGGCTCTGTCTGCTCTAATTCACATCAACAACTCCTGGTCCCTGAAGCCTTCAGGCTTCCTGAGCTACACAGCTGCTGAGGTTGCTACTTTTCCAGAGGGGAAAACTGCCCATTCAGTACCAATTCCTGCATGTCAGGGCTGCCCAGGATTGTTCCCTTATAGAGCTAAAGGAGAAGTCTCTGACCAGCACAAAGAATTTTGGGAACGGGGAATGAGCTCAGCAGTTATGTGACTGGGCTCTTTGCCATTGAGAAAATCTGTGAGGCTCATACAAGTTGTTCTTCAGTGAAAGAGAACAGAAGGTTTCACCAAGGTGATGATTTCCCACCATTCACCCAGGTTGTGAATGGGAAACAAAAGAGAGGATCACTTGGATGAGAGGACCAGCAAGAATGTGGGGAGAAGCAAGATGATCAGTGATGGGCAACCTTTTTCCTTAAAGCATTGATCAAGCCAGTGATAGCCTACATGAGATTATTCTAGCACGAGAACTTAACTCTCTTGGATTATGGCTCCTCACTGGGATCAAGTGAAATAGACAGTTTATACAGAGTTACAGTATGAGGCTGGCAGATTATTTACATGAACTGCCCCCATTTGTAGGGCACCGCAGAACTGTATTTTGATATGCAGCAGGCTGACTTGTGTCTTAGGCCAGGAAACAGGTTTGCTATGCATCAAGTGTCTGGCACCCAGAAGTATTTTACAATAGACCAAGGCTTTAACATTGTATCCCAGGTTTTGACATCAGTATGTAGGGACTGTAGAACATCTGTACAAGGGTTAATCTTGTACAACATAGCTTGGTCTCACACATCTGCACGTTTAATTTTAATTAAATATTAATGTTAATAGTCTAATCGAAGTCAAAAGGACTGCTCACATGAGTAAAACTGTCTACTCATACATATTTGCAGAATTAGGACCTATATATTACTCATATTCTTCAGTACTCTTTAGCACTTTGTATCCAAAGATTTTGAAGGCATTTTACAAATGTTATATGTAAGAAGATACTTCATCAAGTCCTGTTCAGGGAAGCATCTCCACTTGGAACTGAAGCTTAACTCTAGGCATATTGTTAAATCCTGCTGAAATCAAAGGTATTTAAATATAACCGTAACATTAGGCCTGTGAACGTGTTCTCCGGAATAGGGAGAGACATAAGCATGCACTTGCATCAAAGCACAAATTAACACAGAGGTGTAACTAGCAGGTTTGACACCCTGGACAAAACTCTGCTGGGGAGCAGGGTTTCAAGCTTTAGAGAGCAGGAAGGGGAGGGAAGAGGGGAGCACATCAGAGTGATCTGCCTTGGGATAGAGATGGGTGGGCAGACACTAGGACCTATGGCAGCACAAGGAAAGTGCCCACAACTGAAGTTCCCTGCTGACAAACATTGCTGAAGCACACATCTGTGGGCTGGATCTAATGGCTCTGTGGGCTGGATCTGGCCCACAGCTGAACCCCTAGCTTAGGTGAGTTTCATTTCTGTTCTTATGTACTGTGGCAGCTCTCTATACCACCTAAGCCTTAGTTCAGCATTACTTTCAGGGCTTAAGAGGAGTTTGTCCATCACCTTATGCAGACTCTTTGCAGATGAGTCTCTTTACAGGGTGAATTCTCATTCAGATTCCTCTGCTGTTAGTGTAGGTGTTGCATGTGGCTGCAGGAAATAGAACATCAGTCAAATAAGACAATCTGGTTTTTAAAACCACCAATATTGGCAATTGGTTGGGGTACACCCTGAAACTATCTTTGCTTTTCTTTTTAAGCAGCCTAGATTTCCAAATGATTACATCTCTTATTTAAAAAAATATATTTAAAAAAGTATCTATAAAAAACAAATGCTTCACAAGCTACACTTCAGAATCATTATTTGCACAGATTATTTTGCCTAAACTCCTTCTTCAATTTAAGAGCTAATCACATTCAAAATTTAACCTACAAAAGGAACTTTGCATTATAAAGGAAGTCTCCACCCCCATTTGTCCTGTAATTTAAGAAAGAATCAGTTATTTTTTTTAAAATTGTCATTAATTTTTTTCTGAGTAAAATCTCATATGTCAACTTTCAGCAGGAAGTAAATTTGTATAACTAAAAGTATGAAGAGGACTAAAATGACAATGTTGAAAGAACCTAATGGTGTTATTTGGAGATGTTGCTTTAACACAACGAAATGAAAATAGCTTTCCATTCCTTGAAATTTTAATATGAGCTGTATTGTTGATTCTACTGACCTACTCAACAGGGGGTAATGTGATTTGAATCATCTGACTGTCAACTGAAACTGTTCACTCTAGTTTAATGACGAGATGAAAGTCCTTTTTCATACTTGAATAGCCTTTTTTTGAAACATAAATTGCATTCTGAATACCCAGCTATAAGTAGCACATTTCTACATGTTGTAGTCAAAGATAGAAAAAATCATAAGCATAGGTTAAAACAACTTAGATTTTAGCATTTGTATGATGTCTCCATCTTTATCTCTGTCCAGAAAAAAAATCCCAACTTTTTTTTGCTGACATTTTTCAGCCACAAATGTATGATAAGTGTCTTGTTTCACCGCAGTGTACAGGGGTCTCTAGAAAGTAGTTAACTAAGGATTCACCTAGATTCTTGGAGCTGGTAACAAAGATGTACAAAAACCCAGTTGAAAAAGTAAGGTATACATTTTGGCCACCAGCTTCTACTTTCACCATTTATTCTTTCTGTGATATTACAGGGCATTCCCCCATTCAAATCCTTCCTAACTGTACTTTCTTCAGTCACACAAACTGCAAACGGGTTACTAAGTGCCCTTAGGAAACTGCACATACACTCACTGGCCTGCTGGGCAGAAGTTTCTTTTCAAATTTAAGGAAGTACCGGATTTTAAAGTAGAACGTTTTCCATCAGCTACTGAACCACGGGGAAGAGCATTAATGCACTGGAGGTTGCTAATGGCAGACAACACAGCAAAAGATCGCAAGGACAGGCAAATTCTAATGCTGTTGTTTTTCTCACCCTCACGTGGTACCGTATGTGCCTTTAATGGAGCTCTGCAAATAGAAATCAACATAATGTAGTTTTAAACAACAAGTAAGCAACCTCAATTAATTCAGAGCTTTATCCCATAAGATAAGGGCCTCTGGAAGATATAATCTCTGAGAACCACTTCAAAAGGATTTAAAATCTTAATGAAAGCAGGCTTCATATTAATACAGGGTGCTGAGGCACCATTTCTCAGTGAAGCCATGCATACTTCATGCAGAAATGTCAAGGCAATAATAAATCCTGGAGACGGATCATGAAGTGACTAGAGAAGAGGAAGTCAAATTTCCAGACTGAATTCTTGAAAAAGCTGGGGTCAGTCAAAGAAAGAAAGTGTCCATCCAGAAAGAACTATAAATAAACATCATCATCATCTTTTTTTAAAAAAAAAAGATTGAACAGGAGTAGAAAACACTCAAGCTGTCATTTTAGTTGCATGTTGATGAGCCACTGAAGAGGTACATGACTGTTCTTAAGCATGTGGGAAACCAATCAACTTTCATTTTCCATATGAATGAAATGGACATATGTAGATGATGAAACTGTGTCCAGGTAGACACAACTGTTGCTATTGCTTTTCATGGCCATCTCAGAATGGAGTGCACTGGAGTTATAGTGTTCTGGAGGTGCGCGCGTGACTGGTCCAAATCTTTGCGAGCTGACTCTGTCCCTTCCCCTCACCCTTACCATTTAGTTCAGTGGGGAATCGCTGTTTGTTTTTCAAGATTTCACCTCTTCGCAGTCTTGGTCAGTGGAAAGCTCCACATCAGACAGTCCAACCTCCATCGCCATAATCAATGAAATATCTGAGTCGCTGCTCACAGTAGGCTCCTGTTCATCTGAAAGAAGACCAGAGACAGGAATGACATTCAAGCTCTTACGTCAGTTTGTCACAGTTATTTAAATGCAGGGGTACTCTGGAAATCTGAATCCAAACCTCCTTGATGCCTGCTTGGATCCTGAAGATTGTTCCTAATCAATCTCTGCCTGAAATTTTTTTTAGAAATCACAAACCCCAGACAGGGGTTACCTGCGACTAAAACAAGATTACCAGAACTTTCACTCATTTCTTCCAGTCCTGTAAAGGCTCCAGGCCCAGTCCCCTGGTCCCCAAAATCACCCTTCTCCTACATGGATAGGGATCTACCAAAATTGCAATTCTGTCCATTTCACGAAATTGGGCAATGCCCCTGAAATCCACAAGAAAAAACAAAAACACTAGAAAGAAAGTGCTGGCTTCTCAGAGGGAGCCAGTAGTTTTCATGGTGCCGTGGCAGTCCACCAGGGTGAAGTTGCCTGCTTTAAGGACTGCAGGGAGTCTGATTGCTGCCCCCACCCCTTGCTCCTAATTGGCTGCAATGGCTGCCTGTTATATGGCCCTTCTCCTCTCCACTAGTCAGTGGCGATGGGAGGGGCCACATGACAGGCAGCCCTCACAGCTAATCAGCGGTGATAGGCAGGGCCACCAGGGTCCTCAGCCAATTAGAGGCATGTGAGGCCTGCTGCCCTCCACCTGAGAAATGGCTGCTGAGCCCAGCATTTTGCCCATCAAACTGGGGGGCAGCCACCCTGAATTTGGTAGGTCCCTATCCATAGATACTTCTTCTCAGTCCCCATCAACTCTCTACAACACCACGTAGACCCGTAAGTTGGTTACACACATTAAACACAGACATACTCCAAGTTGCAGATGAGTTGCAAGTATACTGAAAATATTTAGGGAAATTATATCTTTGTGCTAAGGCCTATTTTCCCAGAATTAGCAGAGACTAGCACAAAGAACCAAATAACTTTTGAACTTGATTAGTGTAAAACAATAAAGTGCATTAAATAAGAAAGAAGTAATTTATGGGCCAGTACCAATTAGTAGTAAGTCAGGTGGGCAGATAAGAGATGTAGGAACCAGATCTTCCCTAGACCATTATATATCGTTCCATCAATGCCTTTCAAGGATCACTAAAGAATAGGTTTGGTTTGGTTTTCTAGAATCTCAGAATCACTGGAGATTTTTTTTTAAATTGTACTCTTTTCCCCACACCATATAAACTAGAGGCTTAAAAGCTTAATTTGGGAACAAAGTTATAAAATAAGTAGGATTCCTATTTACTGTGTGCCACAACCTCAGAAGGAAGTTAAAGGAAGGCAACTGAGTAAGAACACATTTCCTTGCATGCTTGCACTTCTTTGTTTCTGTTCTGTGTTGTTTTATTCATTTTATGCTAGCAAAGCTTGTTTAAGTATGGGTCATCTGAGCAGTTTCGCTTGTCATTAAAAAAATAAAAAAGTGGCCAAGGGGTGAATATACCAGGCAGGATTAAGCTGCTTAGCTGGTATTTGATCAACAGATGTCCCATAGGCAACCACCAGCTACTGGGTTCTTCCATCCAGGCAGCGCAGTCTATTCCATATTGGGCAGAAGAGTCTTTGCCTCATGTCTTCCCTCTAGGGCAGTGGTTCTCAATCATGTTGACTCAAGGCACCCTTCAGAAAATGCCAGTTCTTAGCTTTTATTCTTTCCTTAACTATGGAAAAAAGATAGAGCAAGTCTTTTGTTGCAAAAGAACTCAGAAAGCCTCAGAACTTGGAGTGTTTTTTGATACGATGGATTCCTATCTGAAATCTCTGGGGTTGTTTTCTGAATCACCTGTAGAAGTCTGCACGCTTAAAAGTATTAATATTGAGTACCACCCTTAAAAGGATCTCATGGCACCCTGGTTGAGAATCGTTGCTTTAAGGGCAAAGCAGTGAAAAAATAATCTCTTTTGCAAAGACCTGCAGCTATACTCTGGTGACGTCTCACTCAGGGTCCCAGGGTTTTTTTCTTAATCCACCCTGATCTTGATTAAATTTAGAGACAGATCAATTAACCTTCACTTGAGTGCAGATCTCTTTATGCTGTATTAATAGGATGAACCACACTTTTTCGTAGCCTGAGCGTGTAGCTCTTATTGTAATGCATCCAACTGCTGTTGAAGCCAATGGCTAATCTGCATATTAAATGATAGGAGGCCATCTCTCCATGACAGTACAGATCTTTAGAGAGAAGGTGATTCTTTCATAGCTGGCAAAACTGTTTAATTAGGGTGATAATATTTGATGAAGCTAGAGCACTTTTTCCTTCCTTTATTTTTCAGAGCTCATAATTAGATAACAGAAACCAAGCTAGACTAACACTTAAACTAAAAAGTCTAAATACAGATACAAAATTGCAATTTCTTAGATATTCAAACAATACCTTAAGCAAGCCAGAAAAGTGAAACATGCAGTTGGTCATTTATCCTAAATTAAATGTTACAATCTCCTGTCAGCCATCTCACAATGCCTGTGGAATCTTAAAAAAGTGGTTATTAAAGAAAAAGTGTATATAGTTTCTCATGCTCCTGTCAGAGGTGAGACTTTGGAAAGAAAAAGTTAGGAACAGCTGGGTAAGTAAAGGTTAAAATCAATCCCTGCTTATCATTTCTTCCCTCTTTTTATATATAACTACAAGACAAATAATTTGACACTCATACTCCTTTATCTCTGTATATACTAGAGGTGCACCGATATATTGACCAGAGCGGCACCAACAAAAGGAAAATTGGCATTATCATCAATCGGCTCTTTTTGGCTGGTGTAGCCGATAACGTCACTGATAAATGGCGTATGCATGTACACAGCTGCAGCATGCATGCGGCCAGGAATGCAGCTGGGCAGCTTGGAGAGCAGCGTCTGCCCAGGAAGTCTCTGAGGGGGGAAAGAGATGTGTGTGTGGGGGCGCCAACTGAGGCGCCCACGGTGAGGGAGGGAGTGGGGCTGGGGCGGAGTGGAGCACAGGACAGAGCCACAAATGGCCTGCCTGGGGCGTGTGTGTGTGGGGGGATCCCACTGCTGTGTTCACCCCTGGGGGAGACATGGGGGGCACATGCCCCTGGATTTCTGCATGGGGTGAGGGTGGGCTGCCTGCTGTGGGCTCAGGGCCAGGGGCTGTGCTGGCCTCTTCTCAGCAGTGGGGCTGGGCTGGGGCTGTGCTTGGGGTGGGCTACAGCCACTCCAAAATTTCCCATAGACCCCCTTCCCAACGCCCCCCACCACCCACCCCACCCTGAGTGCAGCCCTGACACAGCCTCCCTGCTCGGAAGAGGCCAGCGTTGCCCCTGCCCTGAGCCCGCAGTGGGCAGCTTGCCCTCCCACTGAGCACAAATCCATGGCACATGCCACCCTGTACCTCCCCTGGGAAAGCGCGCAGCAGTGGGGAGCCACCCCCCACATCTCCCCCAGACGAGCTGCCTGTGCCTCCACCCTGTAGCTTGCCCTGGCTGGGCAATGCCTGCCCCTGCCCCAGCCCCACTCACTCCCTCTCTGTGGGGGCCTCGATAGCCCCGCTCCCTGCCCCTTCCCTCCTCCATGCCTCTTTTTCCCCACAGACTTACCGGCTGGACACTGCTCTCCAAGCTGGCAGGCTGCATACCGGCTCTTGGATCAGTATCAGCCAGTATGGCTGGTTAATAATTGGTTATGGGTATCAGCCAAAAAAATCTTTATTCGTGCACCCCTAGTATATACTCATCAGTATCACAGAAGGTAAAAGCCTGAAATCATTTGCCTTGACCTTCAGTGTTGCCACTGGAAGTGAAGGAAATACTTTTTGAATGAGTAACATATAATGCAGAAAAACAGCTTTAATTATACTGAATTGTTCGTTGGATCAAAACAGTGAAAAAGTACAAAGTCATATAGTATTTAAACCTATGACAGCATTTTTAGTAACAAAAATTACCTTGGCCTAAAATATACTATTTTAGACTAATGGGCTTTAATGGGAGTTCTGTAACTAATAGGATTTTAAAAATGTAACAAAAGATGATATAAAAAAATTGATGTTAGTTTACATTTCATTGAGAACGTGTTACATTACATTACACTGCTTGATCATATATTAGAATAAACAGCTGGAGGGTTCTCAAGACAAAAGCAATTTTAACCTGAACTCGGTATGAGATAAAGTTGAACCACCTGATTTGGGCCTGCTCTCCACAGTTATGCCAAACCATCGTGGTGGCTCTCCAGTGCATATGTTGTAGTACTATAGTATACACATTTTTGGTGCTGCAGTGGTTTTCAAGGATTCACCTTTTTTTCAGGGCCACACAGACATGGAAAGAGAGATCTCATCAGTGTCCCAACAGATGGAGAGAACAGTTGTGGAGACCTGCCTAGTTCTTACGTTTCCACATTCAGAGATGGTAAAAACTTTCCAAATTTGTTTACTTCCATTCTGCCATCAAAGGTTATTTTCTTTGGGGGGAAAAAATGAACTATATTAGCCATTACGTAACACTCTGGGTAAAGTCTGCCTTTATAAAAAAAGAAAAAATAACCTGTTGTCCAAGTGCTGGCACTGTAAACTACATTGTTATGAGAATGAAATTCAGTCAGATGCAATGGGTCATGAAAACTAACATTCAGACAATGCTTTGAGGGTCATATTAATCTATTTCCTCTTTTAAAAGGTTTGCTCATATGCTATCAGAACTTTAGAATTGAAGGCTGGAGCCCCATCATTTCAGTCCAGTACGTTCAAAAGAAAGGATGCAAGGAAGATGTAAAGGAAAGCCAGTTTCTTCACAGTGAAATTACATTCCTCTTCACAGGCTGAGTGCTGAATCTCATTTGAAAGATGTGAATAACACAAGAAAACAGATGCATCTCTGTGCATTTAATGCATGATCCTGCACCAGTGAAATAATAAGACTTGTCCAGGTGACTTCAGTGGACAGAGGGTGACATCCCAAAAATCAGGAGTTATAAGACAAGAGTTTCAACAGTTTTCTATCTGGCTGTAAACAGGGTTCCAGAT